AGAGGGAATTAGCGGCGCTGCAGAAAGAGGTATACATGCTTCGATCCACCTCGTCGAGGCTGGAGGCTATCGACTTCCTCTTCTTCCCCATGGCAGGCAGATTCTCTCTCTAACAATCTCCTTCTTCTACTGATATGATATTATCAGAAGAAACCAAGTTGTGGGTTTTGCGTGTGAGGCCAAACTGCTGCTCTGAAAATCGAAAACGATCGATTGGGAGAAGAAGAAGACGAGTGAATCGAGTTTATATGTAAATTTGGGGGAATTGGGGGAATCAGATGGAAATCCAATTGGGGTGTGGGTGTATTTTGGTTTGGGCCTTGTTTTTTTAGCTTTCCTTTTGCAACAATTATCATGTCGACATGGAGAACAAGAGGGTTTCAGAAGGGGGAGAGGGAAAAGGACACATGCTTTACCATCGTGGCCAATCGCGATTCGTCCCACGTGAACGTTGCTTCCATATCCCAACAGTTACGTGACCTCTAATCCTAGTTTACCCCTATTTCGTCTTCTTTTCTTCTTCTAAATCCACCATTTATAAGAGGTTTCGTAAGGTTTTGTTGAATTGTAAGGGAATCATTCTCGTTGTTCGAAATTGGACCAATAATTGGTCAATTTGTAATGTCTTTGAACAATAACTTTTGTAAGAGATATTTTGTTGAGTTGGTTGATAGTATTCATTTTGTGTGAAAAACACACATAAACTGGTAAATTGAGATAGTTTATTAAAATTTTTAGAAATTCGGATTTTTAATCAAGATTTTTAATGATTCTCTAAAATTCAATGTGTATTCAATTATAATTTTAAGATAATTTATTAAAATCTTTAGAAATCCGGGTGTATTCAATAGGGATTTAAAAAAGTTTAAAACATTTCAGGTGTATTCAATTAGAAATTGAATTTAAAGAATTTGAAAAAGTTGAGGAATTAGAGGAAATTTGAGAGATTTCGTAGTGTATTTTAAGCATCTACAAATCTCACCTCTTCCCATGAGATTTCGAGAGAATTGAATCAAAATTTTATATGGAATCTCTACAAATCAATTAAATTCCATAAAAATCCATGGATTTATAAATCCATTAAAGTTTCTTAAATTCTCAATTGAATACATCCCTCATAAGCCTTGAAAATTCGGTCCAAACCGGACCAAGTTGGTTTGATTTTCTTATTAATTTCTTGGTTTCAAAAATTGAACTGTATATGTCTTTAGTTCGGTTAAATTACTGAAAGTAAACTAGGCCAACTGAACCATGTCCACCCATACTTCATGCACTTAGATCGCGAGTTTAATTTGTTTATCTACAAATTATTGTTTATGACTTTCGCATTCAATTTAAATGCTTAAATAATAAGTCGAAGGGATCATGTAATAGAGAGAATGTAATCTGAAAGGTTAAATCACGAGATGTTTCTCTCATACAATGGCATAGCCACACTAAAGACTACGGTGGGCTGTAGCCCAGGGAGGATTTGTAACAATATTTATATATACTTTAGTGTGTAGTCTATATAATAGACAAAAACATGTGTAAGAAGAATTATCTATATATATAAAGTGAGCACCCTAAAATGGTGAAACATTTAAAATACCATAAATTGCCCTTTAAGAATTTCATAAATTACAATTGAACCAAGAGAAGCTAAAGTATTTAACCATATTTTATTTTGAATGAATTTAATATTTTGAATTATAGAAAAAAAAAAAAAAAAAAAACCTCCCACGTTAGTGGGTGGTTTCAAGTCATTAATTCATTTTTTTAATAGTTTTTTTAAAATATGTAAATTAATTATTTAAATAAAAAATTATAAAAAAGCCAATTGCCACATGCGTATGCATGTGGCAAGAGGCTAGTTTTAATGAAACTAGCCCACTAAGTATTTAGCACAACTAAAAATATAAAAATTACCACGAAAATTGTGATATCATTTTGTTCAAGATTATTCTGATTTGATATAGTGGGGTTTATATTAGTTTCAACCAATTTTGTTTAAGATTGTCTTTACTTCTACTTTCAGTGTTTTGCTTTGTGCTAGTTGTGTAGTTGTAATTGAGATATCAATTTTTCTATCTTCTTCTTGTGTTTAAATCTAAATATATGTGAAATTTGATGTATGAAACAAAAAAAAAACATTTCATTTTAGGGTAATTTTTTTAGCTAGCCCACCCATAAAATATTTTATGGCTCTGCCCTTGCTCTCATACACATCCTAAATGTTCATAAGCATAGGAATGCTAGCTAGGCTTGACAATCCTTAACGATTAGTACTTGCTATGTTTTCTCGCTTGAGAGAATGATTGGTCGTTAGGTCATTAGTGTGAAGGATATCAAGACAAATATGTAGATGTACAATAGAGAGTGAGTTCATTCAACACGATCAAACGAGAGTTCTTATATAGAAGTTTTTACTTATATGTCAAATAAGAAAATTTATAGTTGTTGGAAAATTAGTTATTATTTTATTATTGTTTATGGTTTTCTTGTGGGCCAATGATATTAGAGTTTCTTGCCCGTCAATGATTAGGATTTTGCTTTAGTTTTCACTATATATAGGAGTGATTGTATTAGTTTATTTCATTAAGTCAATTAAGATGTAGTCTCTTCGTTTTCATGTAGCCTTCTTGGCGGTTCTGTTTATTAAAGTTTCATATTCAGTTAGTTCATTTGTTAATTGCGTACTCTGATATTCAACTTGGTATTAGAGCAGATTAGATCCTTCGGGGTTGATATGTTCTTGGTGGTATCAATTTGTTTTTCAGTCGCCGGATATCAGTTCGATTGTAGTTTGTTTTTTCTTTGTACCTAGATTAGGGTTATGTCGTTGAAAAAAAAAACACAAAAATTGAACTCGTTGTTGCACCAAGCCGTTTGAGCCTTAAACCGTTGTTTACTGTTGTATGATCCTATGGTTTCGAACTGTTGCTGCCTTGAACCTATGCATCAGCGTCCGCCCCCGCACCATATCTAACCCACACGTCCGCTGCCTTGTTTGCCTAACCGAATCATCCCACCTGCATCATCCCGTCTCGAACCTTGCTTGCTTGAACCACCGCGCCACCATCTTCTCGAACCACCTGCATTCATTGTCTTCTACATCCACCACAGCTGCTACTCGACATCCATGAACCCATCACTTGTTTGACGAAGCCAAGACCCGAGAACCACAAACTCGGATTGAGTTCGTCTCCGCCTTGGATCACTGCCACTGTTTCTGACCTACCTGCACCACTGCTGCTGACCGCCTTCGACCCACGACTATCCTCGGACCCACATCAGTGTTGTTTGCTGCTGCGAACCCAGATTCCATGCTGCCACTATTAATGTTGTTTGAAGAAAAAAGAAGGAAAAAGAAATCAAAAAGAAAAAATGGGAATCTCATAAGTTGATGTTGTTGGATTGCAATTTATTAGGCCACTTGTTGGTTTTGAGTTCCACGTGGGTGATAAGAATAGTTGTTGTTGGGCTTGTATTAGGAAGTACGTTGTTTCCCACTTCAACGATTGCTCAAATGTTTGGACTGATGACCACTCGAGTGACGTTGTGTATCTGGTTATTAATTGGATCATCTGCCGAAATCTGGTTGCTTGCCAAATGGTTGAATGATGAAATTACTTGACTGCTTCCGCTTGCTTGTTTCGCTTGGATTGTTCATTTGCTTGCTTGAATTGCTTGTCTTATCGTGTTCGCCTAACGGAGCTTGCCTTGTCGTGCTCGTCTAACGGAGCTTGCATCCACATCTGCTTGTTGGCAAACTCATGACATGTACATCCATGCGTTTGACGGGGGTGTTGGAAAATTAGTTATTATTTTATTATTGTTTATGGTTTTCTTGTGGGCCAAGGATATTAGAGTTTCTTGTCCTTCAAGGATTAGGGTTTTGCTTTAGTTTTCACTATATATAGGAGTGATTGTATTAGTTTATTTCATTAAGTCAGTTAAGATGTAGTCTCTTTGTTTTCATGTAGCCTTTTAGGCAATTCTGTTTATTAAAGTTTCATATTCAGTTTGTTTGTTTGTTTGTTGCGCACTTTGATGTTCAACTATAGTTGCAATAAACAATTGTTTTATTGATACGTCTTTGATCATTTAATGATGCATCAGGACCCTTTGGTTTGTTCCACGCACCATTCAGGTCTTGGATGTATGACAAGAAATTTCTACGTTTAATAAGAAGAAGAGTACTTTAAGATATGTTTTTCTCTAGCCAAAGTGTTGAATATAATTAAGAGAGAGTTCTATATTATATTCAAATGAATCATATGAACATAGGAATTCGCATTAGGGGCCCATGTCCTAATAATGTAACAGTAATACCAAGTATTGAGTTAAAAAATAACTGTATTGCATTGTAATTCCAATTGAATTGGTCTTCCGTCTTTCCTACTTAATTTCGGTAGCCATGGCCCATGACGTAATATTAGTTGTCACTCATGGCTCGTTGAACCCCTAAGGATTAACAACAATTAATCTTCCTTAAAGGGAGAGTTAAAGGAGGGGTTTTTTAAAGAAATTTATTATTATTATTATTATTATCAATGGGTGGCGGAGGGTTTGAAACTATTACATTAACTTTGGAGATGATGAGTTTCAAATCCGGAACGCATGGTTAGGAAGGAACCCAATAGAGCTACTAGGATATTGAACCACATACAAAAAAAAATTTAATTCATAATCGATTTGTAAGAGTTATAATCTCTCATTGCCTAGTTAATTAGAACTTAATGGATTGCATACTGATATACTTGAGTTTTGAAAAAAAAAAAAAACTTATGAAGATGATGAGATCAATTAAGTTTGTTTATTGAGTAGGTTAAGATTAATTATACCAACATAGGACACCGTATTGGACTAAAATAAGTTTCGGGTTTGTAGAGACCCATTTGGCTTCTAACTTAAGTTGTGCATAACAACTTGAATGAAAGAGACCAAAAGGCCCAAGGAACCTATAAAGTCAGTTTTAGGGGTTTATTGGCTAGAGTTTCACACTTGTGTGACTCATCTATATGTGGTACTTCATAGCTTCATCCAACCTACAGGTTTTGTGGATCGGAAAGCAAAGGATGGGGAGCAACCATTCTCCTCATCTCTACAAAATCCAACCACCATACAGAGAGTGCTAACACTCCTCTCCCTCCACGGTTATCTCATCTTCTTGCCAACTCAAGCTCGGTGAAGAGAATTACAGGTCACCTCTGTTGGTGCCTTTCATATTAATTATCCCTAGGTTTTTAAGAAAAAGGTGAGTTATAAAGTGCCTTATTACTTTCCTTTTTCTTAATGTCAACCAATCTGGGCACTTCTGACATTTTTTTATGATAAATCGGCTTTCCAAAGGAGTTTTGAGGCAAGGCCAACTGTAGAAGGAATCTAATAGGTTCGTGGATGATGAATTCAGTACCAAATTAGGTTGCTCATTGTATGGCTTCGCCGAACTCCCCCTCCCTTTAGTGTAAAAATATTGATGTACTCCAAAAAAAAAAAGGGATGAATATCATTTTGTATGTTGCAGGATAATTATGTTCGTCCACTAATTGGTGTAACCAATTGGCCCCAATTCCTTAATTCAATACGCCATTTATTGATTCCTCAATTGATTCTCCATATTCAATTAGGGATATTGTATAATTTGCCAGGGTAGTCATATCCCTATATAAGGGTGGCTATGCCTCACATTTTAATATACAATTCTCTAATAAGATCTCTCTCATTCTCTCTCAAATTATTTTTCCTCTACAATAGTGTCCAATTTTCATAATTGTCTATAAAGCCAATTGTTCCAATTTTGCAAGTTAATGCCTCAAAAATTGCATTCCCATCAAAAACTGCGTATCTGTGGGATAATGAAGATTTGGAGACTGTCCTGATTTTTCCTATAGATGAGCGATATATGCTGAGAAATCTGAGACAGAGATCTACAAGTTTTCGATTTTTCAGAAATTTTCAAAAGGTGGAATGATCCCAAATCAAACGTGCAGATGACGTGTTCCCTAAGCCAAGAAGGATTTATTACTAGTTTGTTTCCATTATTGTTTAGGTCTTTGTTTTGTTTTTGGAAAGTTTTATCAGACTTTTTAGGGTTTTTATAATATAAATATAGGGCGTCCTAAACTCTCCGTACCATACCAACCATACACCACCACCTTATATACCCAATTCCGTTCGAGTTAGATTGAGAGCTTGGGATATACCTTGCTATGAATTCCGGATTCTATCTTTCTTTTATTTTTATTTGTAATTAAGATTTTTTTAAGATTTATTTAGAAGTCATGATATGAATATTTGCAAAGCACTTTTTTTAGTTATTATTTGATTACGTGCCATGTTAAATTCTTAATCTTCGTTTAAATACAAATCTTGGTTTCAAATGATATTATGACCGGCCATCATGATGAAATGTGTTGTTAGATACTTAGATAAACTTAAGAGGATGACCAATTAATTATGTTTATTGGATCTGAGATTAAGTGGAGTAGACAAACTACTGGGGATGACCAATCAAGCTAGTCCTACAATTGGTTAACATAATTCGTTTATACTTAATGAGTTTTTAAGTGTTTAATTGTATGTCTAACCAATATAATTTTGTCGCAAGTCTAAGCGATGTCATCTTCAAGGATTGGTAAACAGAGGGTAAGTTTTTGTCCATAGGAGGCAAGGTTCAGCTAGTTCGGTCAGATTTTACAGAATCTGTTTATACACGACTTTTTTTAATCAATCAGTATTATGTCATGACTCATGAACGTATTTTGCCTTTAAGTTTTTCGTTTTTAGCATTTTGGGACGACTCGAAACATAAAATTCAATCATTTGTAGTTGAAAAAGGTATTAAAATGACTTAATTAATACATAATTAATAATAAGCAGAAGCTGCACCACTTTGTTAAGACAAAGAAGGGTTTTTATATTAATAAAAAATCCCTTAAATTGACATCCCACCTCATTTTAGTCTCTTAAATTCAGAACCGCCAATGTAGTTCTTGAATTTTACTACAACACTTTAATGTATTCATTCTATCTTTTTATTTGTCATATTCATTCTATCTAGATTGGGTCAAATTTTTTGTTTAGTGAACTCACGTGTCATGCATGTGAGTTAGAATTCTCATAATACGATGACACGTGAATTATACAAAAAATAACAGTTTAAAAATAACAAAAGAACAATGTGTCAAATTGAGAAAGAGAATCGGTGCAAGTATGATGCGATCTTCAAATTACTGGTGCAACAGCAAGATGAATGGAGATGGAGGTCGAAATGGTGGTGAGTTTTTCAAACATCTTGAGTACATTCAAGCTTGCAGGCTACTTCGTCAATGACGATATCCGAATTAGCTTGATGAGAAAAATTGGGGATTATGGTAACATACAACCCGCACTTTGTAAACCATTCATCCCGCTTGAGGCACTCGAGGATAGCAAGAACCTCAAATGTCATGAAGAAGCTTCTACTTCTTTTTACATTAGCGTAGTTGTGATCGACAAACTTCGCATCTCTTTTCATCAGTATGCGGTCAAATTCCTCGACGTAAACATGGTTATATATGTTCTTCACGTCGTTGCAAGCGGAAGATGCAACTTTTGTGCTCACCTTTTTCAACGTTTTTCTTGATCGGAGCTAGGATTCGATTTTAGGGATTAAGACGTTACGAGAGATGTGTCACCTGAATGAACTCATCTGGATCAAACTCCTCTTGCGTTGGGGTTGGGGCGGGAGAGGTTGAGATGACAGAGCTCTTTCGCGTGACGGAACTGATGTCCACGGGTTCAATGTGCAGTGGGAATGGGATTATCGGGGAGGTCTATAATTTTGTCAAAAGATGTGAAGATGCGCTCATGATCCTATTGGTACATCAGCTTTTTCTCATTGGAAGGCATTGTCGAGGAGCTTCGGTTTCTGCCTTTGCCTTTCGTTTTGTAAATTTTGGATGGCATTCTTTCTGGGAGAGCATCATTGGAAGGCATTGTCGAGGAGCTTCGGTTTCTGCCTTTGCCTTTCGTTTTGTAAATTTTGTAAGGCATTCTTTCTCGGAGAGCAATTAGGGGGCGTTTGTTTGCCCTCACTAAGTGGGACTGGACTGAACTGGACTAGCTGTTAGTCCAATACCGTGTTTGTTCCATGCTGGGAATAACATTAATGAGACTAAAGGGGACTCGTATGGACAAAACCCTTCACTAAGAGGTCTTAGTGAAACCCCCCAATAACCATGGAACTAGCTGAGACTATCCCCTCTTTCTCGTCCTCGTCATGCTCAACGACCACTCCCGACAGACTCCTCATCATCTCCTGTCACCTAGATCTATCATTAACTTTCTGACTTTCTTTCAGATCCATTTCACAACCAACTTTCATATAAAATATACCAAATTGAAGCTGGGAGTGACAAGATTATGATTCTACCTGAATCGAGGCCAAAAGGTGGTCGAATGTGGCCGGAAAATGCCCTGGAGGTCTCGGCCTGTTTGGGCTTCTTCGAATCCATGACAGATTCGAGCATGCAAAGCTAAGATCTTGGTCCACGGATGGTGAGGAATTTTTTGGCGGTGCTAACTTCATCCAATTCAACGAGGATTGGCCGGAAAACACGTTGGGAAAAATGGAGCCGTGAGGTTCCGTTCGAACAACACATAGCTAGAGAGGGAGGGAGGACAGAGAAATAGAGACTGGAATCGATAAGGAGTTTGATCGGGAATGAGAGAGAGACAGGAATCGAGAGGCTGGGAGGAAAAAAAAAGGGAAAGGGTGGGACGAAGAACTGAGATAAGAGGGAGAGAGTGGGATGGAAATGGTAGGAAAAGATGGAGAAAAAGATAAGATCATAACAAAAATATTAATAATTTATATATTAAATAATATAATATTTGAATTTGTTATTATCCAGCTTTTTAGTCCAATATTGCACCAAACGCTTCGCTAAGTTAGTCCAGCTTAGTATAGTCTAAGCCAGTCCAACTTAGTCCTTAAAGCTAGTTCAGTCCGAGATAGTCCGGCGCAACAAACGCCCCCTTAGTTTACTCTTCACCTTTTCTTCTTGATGGAGAACGCTACGCTGCAATTGTTGTATTTATAGAAGAGTTTTTGTGGGCAGGCTTGGCCTTTTTGAAAATTGGCTTCTCATGAGGTCCTTTATAAAAAAAATCAATATAAAATGTTGACGTGATTTAACCGTAACTATTCAAGTAGGAGATGAAGGAAGATGAGAGAGATTAGGAGAGGAGAGAATCATTTTCCGATTCACATAATGACATCCCCTGTTGTATTTAATGTTCAACATACAAGGGTTAAATGTTGGCAAAAACGCTATGGTCTTATCAGTTAAGCTCGCTCTAATACATGTGGTGTCCTCTATGAAACTGGTGAAAATTGGTTACCACAATCACCTGACCCTAATCTCTCAACTATTTACACAACCTCATTCCCTCGCTTAACTTGCAACCATTAACACATAGTAGATGTTCAATTTTCAAGGAAAATAATGAAATTTGAATCAAACAAACTAAATTGTATAAGAATGATTAGTCTTACCAAATTAGGTTTTAATTTTTATGCCTTTAACATTTCAGAAATTGATGTATAAATTGTCACCAAAAAATTTGGTGTATCAGGTGGCACCTACAAAATTAATTAGCCAAACACACACAACTAGTAATTGCAAAGCATAAATAAACTAAAATTCGTGTTCCACTTATCTCTCTCTCTCTCCAAATCTGAGGGACTCGACTGGGTTGCTAAAACACAGAAACCAATCCCATAATCGTATTAAACTTCAAGCATCCAAACGAATACGCATCGCTCTCCCCAATCAAAATCCCAACTTTCTTTTCCATTGCAATTCCACAAGTACGTTTCTTGTTTCTGAACTGCTCGCTTACTTTTCCATGGCTTTTTTTTTTAATTTTTTTTTTCTGCTACTGTGTTTCTGTGATCGATGGCTTTTGCGACCAGATCTGCTGAATTGGGCTCAGTTTTTTTCTTGGGATTTCTGGGATCTGATTGGGGGTTAGATCTGTCTCGGAATTTGATTGTTTTTTGTGTGTTTGATCTGGAATGTCAGTGGGTCTGTATGTGGTTGGTTAGAAATTTTGTTGTGGATTTGAATCAATGTGAGTTCTTTTTGTGCATTTGTGTTTTTGAAAAATGGGGCTTTACCCAAAAGAATTGGTGCAGTGCTGTTATGGAAAGTCCTGGTAATTCCTTAGTTCAGTGAATTGTGAGTCAAAATGGTTTTCAGTTTCTTTCTCTTCCCCTCTCTCTCCCACTGAATTGTTGCACTAGCTGATAAGGAAATGAGGAAAATGTTAATGCACTAGATGATTTGACTGTATTTTCGAAACCGGGCACGAAAAGCAGCAGCACCCATCTCTGTTTTTCCTTTGAATTACTTAACTGCTCAGTCAGTTTTCACTCAAGGAGATGTAGGCAATATCTGATCGAATTACTGACTCCTTATCTTTGTGATCAGATTTTTTGTCTTTTTGCAAGGTGGACAGTGTTATTTTATTAGTTTGGAGCTTTTATACAAGAATGATTGTGATTTGAAGTTATAGTTGTTTTATGAAATTCATATGTATAACGGAATATATTGTT